GGTTATTTTATGTTGTATATCTTACTAATCTCATGAAAATTGAACTTTTTATAAAAAGATAATGAATATATTAATAAAATTGACTTTATCTATATCTTATTAAACCACAAACATAATACATTTAATTCTTTAATCATATACATCAATCCACCTTTTAATACTAAATTGTAACCTAAATCATATAAATTATGTATTAAATTTTTTTCTCTATTCAATGGCATTCAAACACACTATTAACTATTATTGTAACTCCCATAATTAAATTTTTAAAAATGAATGTATTTTTTCAAAGTGGAGGTTACATTTAAATATTAATTTACTATAATTTATTTCATCATTATAAGAATAGCACAATACGACATATCAATCTCAAATCTCAACATGAGAGACCCAAGATCTATCAAAAACAAAAATATATTAGGTTTTGAGCGTAGATTTGTTTTTGTTTAAATGCTATTTCTTCCTTTAATTTGATGCTTTAAATTTAATTTTATTGGTTTCCAATCTTTTTTCCTTCATATTTTATTTTCTTTTGTTTTTTATGTCATTTTTCTAAGTAAATTTCAGTCCATAATGCCATATGTTATTACGTTTATAATGGTAAGATATGCTGTGTATATTTGAATTCTATTATTATTGATCAGAAAATAAAGAAAATATTTTCTAATATATATATATATATATATATATATGTTTTGTGAATGTAGACTATCTTGTTAAAAATATTTTTATATGGTGATGAATTTTTTTTAGCTAACAATTCTAAATAGGTGCCAGGTTTTCAAAATCACTAAATACAATTTCAAATCTCATATAAAAATAGTTTTAAAAGTTATTCTACACATATATAAAAGTTGCTCTTTTTTTTGCCACCATGAGCCATATTTTGTCTTCTTCCTTTAAAATAAATTATTATGAAAAATTAATTTTCTGATTAATGCGGTATAAATTGAAAAAAATTAACAAAATTCAACTTAGCAATTTTCAATAATTACTCTGACATCTTATATATATATTCCTTTTTACCGTCGTTTTAAAATCGAGAATTAACATATATAAGATATTCTAATATTTGTTTTAAGCGATATGTGCCATATTTTTCTTATTTTGTTTTTCTTTTCACTTAAATAATGAACATCCTTACATCCTATTATTAATAAATGATTTTTTTTATTAATGGAGCATTAATTGTATAAATTACCTCGTAAGACCATCTCCAATGTAAATCTCTATACTCTTAAATAGAGCATAATTTCTCTCCAATGTATCACTCTATACCCTACTCTGAAATAGAGGTATTGTAAAAAAAAAATAGAGTTCCTCTATATATAGAATAATCTTCTATTTTACTCTATTTTAGAGTGAGATATAGAGTAAGGTTGGAGAGAATTGTGCTTTATAATAGAGTTTAGAGAAAAAAAATAGAGTGGAGTTGGAGATGCTCTAATGATGTTTAAGTCGCCTACATTTTAAATAACTATTTCATCATTTTATATATTTTATATATTTTTAAATTAATATACCTAAATTTCTACATTTTGAATAAGCTCTTATAAATTCGATTTTACAACACTTATGAATACTACCGTTTATAATTATGACTACGGATGCTTATAATTTCCTTTCTAATTTCTATGTGAACTAACTATTACATAAACAATTAATAAATCAAATTATCAAAATGGATGCAAGAGATATAAAAGATAATTTAACATATTTTATACTATTTGAAAAGTTTTGTAAAATTTCGATTAAATATTTTTAATAATATCTTACATCATTAGATTTCTATTAAATTTTACAATAAATGTATTGTCTTTACATTTTTTTAGCTTTATAACGGTAGTCCAACAGTATTTTGTAGTACTTTAATTCAAAATTTTGTTACCATCTATAGATACACATAAGTTACAAAACATTTCACTACATTAATTTACAATTTATTACAAATTTGGCAAAAAATGTTATTAAATTTATTTAGTTACTAGGATTTAAGAGTACTATTTTGGTATAAATTCTATTTGTGATGGTAATATTGTAATAATCAACAAGTATTTGACTTTTAAGATAACAAAATATTATCTCAACTCTCCAATTTTTTCACTTCTTGTCCACCGTCCTCTTTTTTTTTTTTTTTTTTTGACACAAAGCCCTCTCATTATTTTTCCAATATCCCTGGAAATGTTAATTCACAAGCCTTTCAAATATATTGATAATGTTTTGTCAAATCATATGATTCATTTAAACATGTAAATTACAACTTTTTAAGTCATTGTAGAGAAGAAATAAATTAGAAGATTTTTTTGCTAATACTTGTAATGAATAATCTGGAAGATTTTTTTGTCAATACTTTCTTTATAATTAATACATGTTCTAATATGTTTTTAGGTTAAACTAATTTAGTTTTCTTACGATAAAATATATTCAAACTATTCCCACGCATCGCGTGGGTCTTTTTCTAGTAATATATATTTTGTGAGTTTTACATATAGTCTCTTTTTGTTTTTGCAGGGACTAAGAGATTAATTGACTGATGGATCCACAATTGGAGTAAAGAGGATGGGAGAAGTTGATAAATGCCCTTCTTCAAAGTATGCAAACAGAGATTGAGTGGCGAAAACGTTGAGTTGGAATAGGCCATGCTTTGCTCGAAATGGTAGAAACCCCTCAAGAATCTAGTATGGTACCCATTCAAATGCGTGGGGACTGGTGGAAACAAGAGATCAAAACTCTTAAACGATAGCTGAGTAGCGGAGATAGGGTTATAGCATGGGGGTCAATTGACACCCATGGATTTTTTAAATCTAGTTAAATTTTGATTGGTAATTGTAAATTGACCCCATTAAAAAATAAAAATTGACCCCCATCAAATTTTAATTTAAGAGCAAACTACTAAATATCTATATACTAAAAAATGTTATATTAATTTATACTAAATATTAATTTAAGAGTTAAACGTTACAAATAAATCTAAAATAAAAACATGAATGAGTTCAACTTCATTCTAATTATCTATATCTCTCGTTACTTTAGGATTTTTCCTATTTTCTTCTTTTTTTCAATCACCATTATCCATTGAAAATCACATTAAAAATAACATTTAGGTAAAATTTTATATATATTTTAATTTGAACTAAAAGTTTTTGATGATTTTGCTTGTATATTAAGAAAAATCTCATCTTTTGATTTATTGACTTTTAAAACTATTATTGATTTATATTCTATGAATATTGTGAAAACGACTTCGTATTATCGTCTCGTTTATATCATTCCAATGATTGTTTAGTTTTCCAATTGAAAAAGATTGCTACATTGTGGCAAACGAGACAATAGTAAATCGATTACAATATATAGTATAGTTGTGATGATATTTTTATTTTTTCTAATAAAGTCGATATAATTTTTTTATATACAAAAAAATTTGACTCCTATAAACAATTTTTCTGCCTTCGCTAATGAGTGTTTGTAAAGAGTTTGTGCTTTTGAATCTAATTAAACTCCCCACCTCTTTTGTTAGTATGTGCTTCTTACTTATGTCTAGAAACTAAGTGACCTAAACCCATGCATGGTTCTTTTGAAATTATGGTGTATTCCTATTAATATAACTAATATGCTCTCCTTTAGTGAAGAGCTTCGGTTTTGGTTTGTGAAATGACCCATATAGCTTGATTTCTCTTAGAACAATTATAGGTTATATCTATATAGCTTTCATAATTTGGAATCGTAAAACTGTTTCCGGCGGTTTAAGAAAACCAGACTTGAGACGAGCAAGACGAAGACTCTTCCTCCACGTTTTTGTGGCTCAGTTTTGTTTAGTCACCTAGGCCCTATAGGCTATTATGATTTTTAACATGGTTTAATTGTTTTGTTTTTTTATCAAAGGTTAGATTAACCCACTTTTTATGCGGACATCCAAATCAAACCAAACTAAGAGCATACTAAACCAGCCGGTATATGTATCAAACCGGTTGATATAGAGGATTCTTGCGCAAATGGAGTTTTAATCAAGTACAAGGCCTAGGGTTAATTATTCACCGGCAAATTAACCCTAAGAAGACTAATGATGGTTCAAGAGGAATCAAAGAACAGCGAGCCAAATCACCATATTATGGGAATTTGACCGTTGCACTCTTTTTCCCTTATCTAGGGTTTGTCCCAATGGGTTTACCTAGAAAAGTTTTTAACGAGGCAACATCAAGTCATCAAAGAATCATTCACCAAGAAATTGATTCGAAGATGTTACAAGTACATATAGCTGATGTACTTGCTGACAGACCGGCTGAACTACTCGCTAAACTACGTGCTGAACTACCCTCTAAAGTATTGCGCCAAATGAAGCCAAACAAGAAAATCTTCCTTATTCTACACTTGGACGTACCTCAAAGCTACATATGGAAACCATGAGTGTTGGTGTCGGATCCCGCACCAGTAGTTTGGGATCAACCAAAGATTGCCGCGTAATCAAGGTAACGGCCCACGAAGGATAAAGCCCATTAGATCCGTGAGTCGGAGTGACAGTCGAAGTGGTTAACACCACGAAGTGAGTCCGAAGTGACTGCACCTCGACATAAGTCCGGAGTCAAAGTCACAGTTAAGTCGGTTTAAGGATATTTGGGCCGATTGGCGAAGCCCATGAAGATCGGAATCAACTCAAATTCGAGCGTTAAGCATTAAAGTCAAAGATCAAAACGGACGCATTTAAGAGAGAATAATTGTACTTAATTAGCCATTTAATTGACATTTTTCTATGTATAAATAAAAGGGCAAATGGCCATGTAAGGGGGGTCTCTCTCTCTCGAAGAAATAATATAGCAATTTTTGTAGCAATCCATAAGTTTTTTTTTACACATTTATTTTTTGTCCCTCAAGAGTAATCTTTCCTATTTAATAAAAATACTTGAGTGTGTGAATCCGACTTCCACATTTTGGTGCCGTCTGTGGGGATCGAGGATTCTTGAGTGGTCAGATTTTTCTTTACTACATTTCCGAGATAAGCAACAATGTCCGGAGGAGACGCTGCTGAATTATCATTGGCCGAAACCCTTAAAGCCATGCAACAAACCATGTCGGAAATGTCGCAGAAGTTCTCGAATGTGGAAAAGGCTGTCGACACGTTACAAACATCCCAGGTATCTCTTAGTCAAAACGTCAGTACTATACAAACTCGTGTTCGCTCTTTAAGTGCAGGAAACCCTGTGGGAATCCGAAGAAGGATATTCAACTCGCCAAGTTCCGTTGCGCGAAATGAAACCAGCGGACAAACAACTCCTGGTGCTGCTAATAATGTAGTTCAGCCATTGGAGGGAGAGACACAGCTCGAAGATGAAGTTCAACTTGTAGATCAATACGAGCAGGAAAACCTCGACCAGTTCGAGACTATGAGGAAGGTTAGCAAGGAACTAAAAGAAATGAAGTCAAAGTTCCATCAGGCTACGAGTTTGAAGCCGGATATCAATCGAGTCATTGAAGAAGCTAGGCGAACACCTTTCGTTCTGCGAATCGCAAGTTTAAGAATCAAAGATTCTCGGAAGCTCATGTTGGACCCTTACAGCGGATTGGAGGATCCAAAAAGCTATCTCGCAGCTTTCCTGATAGCTGCCAGAAGAGTCGAATTGGATGAAGCTGATGAGGATGCAGGGTACTGTAAGCTCTTTTCGGAAAATCTATGTGGCCAAGCTCTAATGTGGTTCACCCAATTAGAGTCGGGTTCGATCAGCAATTTCGACGAACTATCAGCCGTGTTCTTAAAACAATATTCCATCCTTATGGACAAAAGTGTTTCGGATGCCGATCTTTGGAACCTATCACAAGGATCAAATGAGTCACTTCGAGTTTTCATCACCAAGTTCAAAGGAGTGCTGTCAAAACTCCCAAGAATCTCGCAGCAATCAGCTTTATCTGCCCTACGAAAAGGATTGCGACATGATTCAAGGTTTAAAGAGGATTTAATACTTCGTAAACCAGACAAAATTCAGGACGCACTCTTCTGCGCAAACAACTGGATGGAAGTAGAGGACGAAAAAGAAAATTTCGCCAAAAGAAATAAACAAGAGAAGCCAGCAATCACCGTCCCTATCAAGAAGTTCGAGTCTAGGGAGAGCAAAGGACCTAGAAAATTTGGGTCTCAACCCTTCAACGGTACTTTCAGAAAGCAATTCCAAGGGAAATGAAGGTCAAACACTTGGGTCCGTGATGAAAGTTTATATTGCGATATTCAGAACGTAACCGGACATTTAACCAAGGATTGTAGTGTCCTTAAGAGGCATCTCGCGGAGCTTTGGGCCAGTGGGGATCTTTCCAAATTCGATATAAAAGATTTCGTAAAGGAATACCACAAATCAAAGGATAACTCCAAAGATCAAAATTCTAAAAGACCAAAGTTATCCAATGAGGAAGAGCCAAGGAGTTCGAAGGGTAAGATCAATGTGATTCTAGAAGGTTCTAAATTTTGCCAAGATTCGATAAGTTCCATCAAAAAACATAGGCGAAATGTTTTACTCAAAGCAAGTTTGAGTGAAGAAGTCGATTTTCAAGGTGCATCAATATCATTTGACGAAGAAGAAACGCGGCACCTCGAGAGACCTCGTGATGATGCATTAGTCATTACCCTGGACGTTGCCAACTTCGAAGTATTAAGGATTCTTATCGATACGGGCAGTTCGGTCGATCTAATCTTTTTAAGTACTTTAGAAAGAATGGGAATTAGTCGGGCAGACATAATAGGGCCTCCATCTCCGTTAGTGGCCTTCACAAGTGAATCAGCGATGTCCCTCGGAACAATCAAACTACCAGTCCTTGCCAAATGGGTGTTAAAGATTGTGGATTTTGTTGTCTTCGATAAGCCCGCGACTTACAACATCATCCTCGGGACTCCCTGAATTTATCAAATGAAAGCAGTCCCTTCTACATATCATCAATGTATCAAATTTCCAACATCAAGTGGAGTGGAAACAATTCGGGGAGATCAAGAAGCTTCACGGACGTGTTATCTAGCTAGCCACCGTATGAAGATTCAATAGCAATTAACGAAGCCCGCAAAAGAGGGACTAAGACCAAAATTTCCTAGCGGGCAGAAAAAAGATGATGTAGTAATCGAAGTGGTGTTTGAAGAAGACAAACCGGACCGGAAAATTCGAATTGGGGCAACTTTGACTGACCAAATAAAAGAAGCTTTGATCGAACTCTTGAGAAAAAACATAACATCATTTGCATGGTCAGCGGCGGATATGCCTGGCATAGATCCAAGCATAATTTGTCATGAACTAAACGTGGATCCAAGTTTCAAGCCGGTAAAACAAAAAAGAAGAAAGCTCGGAGCGGAGCGAGCAAGAATAGTAAATGACGAAGTGGACAAACTCTTAAAGATAGGATCCATAAGGGAAGTGCAATACCCGGAATGGGTAGCAAACACTGTCGTTGTCAAAAAAAAGAATGGAAAAGATAGGGTTTGCATAGACTTAACAGACCTCAATAAAGCATGTCCCAAGGACAGTTTCCCGCTCCCGCATATAGATCGACTTGTAGAATCCACCGCTGGCAATGAGCTGTTAACTTTCATGGATGCTTTTTCGGGTTATAACCAAATAATGATGAACCCTGAAGACCAAGAGAAAACGTCATTTATCACGGATAGAGGTATCTATTGTTACAAAGTAATGCCTTTTGGTTTGAAAAATGCAGGAGCAACTTATCAACGGTTGGTTAACAAAATGTTCCACAATCATCTCGGAAAGACAATGGAAGTCTACATAGATGATATGTTGGTTAAATCGTTAAAGAAGGAGGATCACGTTAAGCATTTAGAGGAATGTTTCGATATTCTCAATAAATATCAAATGAAGCTGAACCCGGCAAAGTGCACATTCAGAATCCCATCCGGAGAATTTCTTGGCTATATAGTGACAGAAAGAGGGATTGAGGCCAATCCAAATCAAATCAACGCCTTTCTAAACATGCCATCTCCAAGAAACTTCAAGGAAGTACAACGGTTGATTGGGCGGATTGCGGCTTTGAATCGTTTTATCTCGAGATCAATAGATAAGTTTTTACCTTTCTACCAAATTCTAAAAGGAAACAAAGGATTCCTTTGGGACGAAAAATGTGAAGAAGCTTTTGGGCAGCTTAAGGCATACTTAACCACTCCACCTATATTGTCCAAACCAGAGGTGGATGAAAAGCTTTATTTATACGTATCAGTTTCAAACCATGCGGTTAGTGGAGTCTTGGTTCGGGAAGACCGCGGGGAGCAGAAGCCGATTTACTACATAAGTAAATCAATGATGGAAAAACCAGATATACCATGATGGAAAAACTTGCACTCGCGGTGGTGACTTCGGCTCGGAAGCTGCGCCCGTATTTTCAATCCCATCTGGTTGAGGTATTAACCAACCAGCCACTCCGAACAATACTTCATAGTCCAAGTCAGTCCGGACGTCTGGCGAAGTGGGCGGTGGAATTGAGCGAGTACGACATAGAATTCAAAAGCCGGATCAGTATGAAAGCTCAGGTTTTAGCAGATTTCCTGACCGAGCTACCAATATTCGGAACGATAGAACAACCGGAGAACTAAACTTAGAAATTACATGTAGATGGATATTATCAAAACAAGGATCCGGAGTGGGAATCAAGTTGGAGTCTCCAACGTCAGAAATTCTAGAACAATCATTCCGATTGTTATTTAATGCTTCCAACAATGAAGCAGAATACGAAGCCCTGATTGCCGGACTTAGATTGACACAAGGAGTTGGAGCTAAGGAAGTAGTCGCCTATTGTGATTCGCAATTAGTAGTTAACCAATTTAATGGAGACTATGAAGCCAAAGACTCAAGAATGGAAGCATACCTCGAAGTGGTGAAGGATCTGTCTAAAAATTTCTCGAAATTCGAATTAATTCGCATACCTCGAGGAGAGAATACAACTGCGGACGCACTTGCCGCGTGTGGATGTCGGATTCACACAATCAAGTATTTTACTAAGTAGGAAAGATTACTCTTGAGGGACAAAAAATAAGAATGTAAAAAGCTTATGAATTGCTACAAAAATTGCTATAGTATTTCGTGCTCGAGAAAAAGATCCCCTTTACATGGCCATTGGCCCCTTTATTTATACATAGAAAAACGACATTTAAAATGGCTAATTAAGTACAATTATTCTCTCTTAAATGTGTCTGTTTTGATCTTTGACTTTAATGCTTAACGTTTGAATTTGAGTTGACTCCGATCTTCATGGGCCTCGCCTTTTGGCCCAAATGTCCTTGAACCGACTTAACCGTGACTTTGATGTCGGGCTCATATCGAAGTGCAATCACTTCGAATTCCTCTTGTGGTGATAAACACTTCGACTGTTCCTTTGGCTCACGGATCCAATGGGCTTTATCCTTTATGGGCCAATATTTTAACTACGTGGCAATCTTTGGTTGGTCTCGAACTTCTGGTGCGGGATCCGACACCAACAATTAGCCCCCCAAGTTCTTCGAAGTGCTACTCCAATTCGGAGGACTTTAAATGCTTTAATGACCAAAGATTGCGTTCCGAGGAATCTTCTGATTTTCCCGCCAAGATCCCGTCAGTCCTTTAATTTCGGCGCTATCCATGTTTAGCCGTGTGACATCTGTCGCCATTATGACCATATCTCAATTATTTACTATTAAAGCGGGAAACCTTTCCACTTCCCTCCCGATTCCCAAGGCGGTTTCACCATTATCACTTAGCTTTCGTGAGGTAACTTCTTTCATCATCACTTTTTTTTTTTACTCTTACGTTTTTGTCGAAACTTCTCTCTTCTCTTTCTTCGCCGATTTTCTCTTTGCCGGATTTTAAATTTCTCATCTTCTCTGATGACTTCTGATTCCGAAAGACCCGAGTCTCCATCCTTTGAAGGCGGCTCTAGTAATGACGAATGCACTCATCCTAACGACATCGCTGGTCCACACTACAGATCCACCTGTACCCTTCAATCCCTAGAGCGATTGAAGGAGCTTTGCCAGATTCCCCCTGGAATCATAGCGGAGGCGCAGATAGCCGACCCTACGGAGTCCCCGGAAAACCACCGCGACGGCTACTTTTGTGTCTATGAAATCTACTTCAAAGGCTGCGGATTGACCTTTCCCCTTCCCGAAGCCCTAGTTTGATACCTAGCGGCTCTTGAGATCGCTTTACCTCAGTTAACCCCTAATCTCCTCCGAACCATCCTCAGAATCATAACCGTTGCGGCAGAAGCAGACTACATTATTGGGGTCCCCGAGCTGAACGAACTTCTAAGCGTGAGACGTTCGTCAAAGACTGTCCGGAGCCCATCTCCTAAAAAGGGAGATTCTGAATCTCGAGATGCTTCCTCGAGGTTAAAGCCTGCTCTTGTCCCTCAAGTCAAATCGCTTTCAGGTTTGGTGATTTACACATACTTAAAAGTTTTAGTCTCTATTCAGATTCCAATTTTTACAACTCTTCCTCCTTCGCAGCTATGGAGAAAGAAGGCAGCGTCTTCCGATGCTTCAAGACACGATCGGGTTCGATCTTGCCAGACTTCGACAAGTGGCGCCCTGCGATTCATGAGCGCTATTTGCTTCATGCTCATCATTCATCTCGGGTTAGTTCCGCTTTATTTTTCCGATTGTGCTGCCGTTCTTCGAAATGACTCACCATCCCGGTTTTATGCATAATGCCAGGCTAACGGTGAGCTTAATGACATGATTGAACATTATGAGGGGCTGGTCATTGGTCGGGAAAAGGAGATTGACGCGTGGAAGAAAAAACTTTCTGCTCTTGAGGCTGAACAAAGCTCTTCTACCGGCTCCAAGCACGATTTGGAGGATAAGGTCGACAGTCTAACATCCGAGCTTGCAAAGATAAAGGGGGAGCTGCAGGACCAGTACGGCCAGAATTTCAAACTCCAGGATGAGCTTTCTGGTGTTCAGGGTAGGCTTCACGAATCCGAATCAACCGCCGATAGCCTGAATAACCAACTTATTGAGCTTAACGCGAAGTACAAGGCGATCACTAAGTTACGTGATTCCGAGTTGGCAAGGTCGGCATCGAAAGCCAGAAAAGAGGTTAAGGGACGCGGGATGGAGTTGATCCAGGGGGCCATCCGATTCATTCAAACCGAGAAAGCTAGGACAGATTTGGAATCAGACATCAAGGAGCACGAGAGCAACCTGATTCTGTTGGATCAAATCCATGACACAGATTTCTCCGAGGTGCAAGAGAGGACCGAACTGTCGGCTAATCTATCTGAAAAGCGGAGTCGCTTGGCAGCTCTTCCCACTTCGACCTTCAACCCGTAGGACTTCGAGGAATTCTTCATTATGCATTAGATTGAGCCTAGATTGTCAGTCAATCTAGACCCGATTCACTTCGCCTCCTATAAATGAATCGGGTCTAGATTGGGCAGGTAACGCTTGGCTCCTGATACTTACTACCTTTATCTCACCTTATGTTTTTTAAAATTGACTGGAATTGTCCTTCCCAGGCTCAAGTGAGACGGAAGATGTCGTCCCACCCGAAGTTCCTACGGCACCGGAGGTCACCCCGGAGGATGGCTGTACTGTGGAGGGCGGACCAGGAGCTCCATCTGAGCAAGCACCAGCCAAGGAGGCGAATGAAACTTAGACTGCCGAGCCGGAGTCCGAGGTGGCTGTCACTCCGTAGTGGCTGCGTCCACTTTAAATTGGGAATTGTCCCATTTATTTTAAAACTTAATTTCGAACTTGTTTTTCCCTAAGGAGGCTTTATTATTTCTTTTGAACAAGATATTTGCCTGAGGAGGCTTTTAAACCTTTCTAGGTTTTGACCCCAAGGGGGTTTGGTTAAAATTATGTGCGGGTTTGCAAAGTCCGCTTTTAACCCTTTGTGGCCTTGTGGTTATGCTTTCGAGATTTTTAGGCTGATCAGACCTTTCTCTTAAGAATGCGAGAACTGAGCTCGGCTTAAAGCGAGTTCCCCACTTTGGGTTTAGTCAACTCGGTAAATTTATTGGGCTTGGGCCTTAGAAACTTTTGTAGTTAATGCGACGGTTGCTCTTTCCCTTCTTATTTCTTGAAAGTAGGAAAAGCGGCTCGTCTTTAATGCAATAACTGCCTTTTCTTGATTTCCAAAAATGGTTTAAGTTACTTGGGCACGCCATCATTAATGATTTTTTGTTTCCAAGACAAACCCTATTCCTATTATAAATAGGAGATTGTTTACCTTTAATCTTTTCTCAAGAAACTTCATAATCCATTCAACAAACACCACATTAATGGAAAACGAAAACGTAGCCCCCGTTGATCCCGGCAGCCCACTTTTCTTGTCCGGCGATGGCTTTGAACCGGCCGGCGTTCTTTTCCTCACGCCGTCTTTCATTTTCCTTCAAAGGAGAAGAAAGAGGCTTGCGACTTTATTGACAAGGTTAATATCCGTGGTTCTTGATTAAAAACTTTTTGTTTCGTTTTATTCATTCATCTTTATGCTAGGTCGCCGACAAACACCGTCGCTTGTGTGAGGAAAGGCAGCGGCTAGGTCTCAAAAGGCAAACACTCGAGGCTCGCATCGCTCGGGTGGAGAGGAAGATAAGGGCTCTGGAAAGTGATCCCTTTCAATGGGAATGGCGGAACTTCGATTCTGTTGCTGAGATCCCGAAGATGCTTCGGATGTATCTCCGTGCTAAAGGAGTTCCGGGTCCTGTGAATGCTCCGGTCCACACCGTTCCATCTGATAGCGAGGAAGAAGACGAGGAGGAGGCCAGTACCAGTCGGAAACGCGTTCGGGATCGTCCCGAAGTGGATGCCAAGAACAAGGCGTCCACTTTGAAAACTAAACCGGCGATGAAGGAGCCTGTTCCTGAGCCTCTTCCATAAATGTTTTCTAACTTCTTCACTTATTTTGAACTCGTAATGGGCTTCAGCCCCTTTTTATTTATGGAAACATTTGCAATTTTCCTTACTCTTCAAATATTCTCGGAGATGCATCTTTTAATGCAAGATCGGTTTAAGGGCATAAATCTCTCCGCGAATCACTCCATTCCTAGGATAGAATCCGCAGCTTACTTAGGAATATGACATTCCTATAAATTATAGTCTCAACTTCTCTTTTCTCCTCACCACTCTTTTTCATTTTAGCAGGTATGGAGTTTAACCTTCGATGTTCAGAATCTATGCCCGACTTCTCCAGGATTGGAATGACAAACGAAGATGCTCCAAATGAGCCAAATAGGCGGCCTCTTCCACCTCGCGGCTTCTTCAGATCCCAGATCCGAGCTCCATGTGCTTTGATCTGGGATCTCCCAATCAGAGACCAAGGAACAGCGATGGCATTCATAGAGGAACATCGGAAGCTTACGTTGGAAAAGAGGAGACTCCGGAAGAGGATTAACCGGATGCAACGCAGGCTTACTACGGTATCAAGAGATCTTCACGTCCTTGAATCTCACCCTGGAGAATGGATCGAGCTTGGAATCTCTGACTTCGCTCGAATTCCGGACTGCATGATGCCAATCCTCGACCTTGCTGGTCAAGGAGTTGAAGTGTTCTGCTCATCAACAAGATCTCCATAACCCGAAGTGTACGATGAGGGACATTCCATCTTTTTTGTTTTAATAAACGCTCTATTTCCAATCTCTTGTATGTTCGCATAGCCGAACCTTTATTTGCTTCACTTGTTCGCAAAGTCGAACCTTTCCCTTTAATACGGAGATAAAACAAATTTTTTATTAATAGCTGAACTCGTTTTCGAGCTGCCTACGTACCCATTTCGGGATCAAGCCACACCGTAGTTCATGTCCATATAAAATGCGTGTAGCTTTAAACATAAAATTTCTTTAGGTTGATCACATTCCAAGGTCGCTTGACTGGCATGTCTTCTAAGTCTTTCAGCCTATAAACACCGTTTCGAACCACTTCGGTAACAATGTAAGGTCCTTCTCAATTAATACCGAGTTTACCGGCGCCTTCTTCTTTTTTATTGTCAAAAACGCGCCTTAACACATAATCTCCCACGAAGAACGGCCTACTTTTGACTTTAGAGTTGTAATATCGGGCTGCTGCCTGCTGGTAATTCTGGATCCGAATCAAAGCTTGATCACGCCTTTCATTTATGGTATCTAGTGAATCATTAAGCATTGCTGAATTTTCTTCCTCATTTAATGGTGCTTCTGTTCGGCGAAGTCCGGGCACGTTGAGTTCAGCTAGTACTACTGCCTCCATGCCATAAACCAAAGAGAATGGAGTTTCTCCGGTAGGTCGCCTAAGGGTTGTACGATAGGCCCATAGGACGGGTTGGAGTTCTTCATACCATCCTCCCTTTAGATGATTTAAGCGTTTCTTGAGACTGCTCAATATCGTCTTGTTCGCGGCTTCAGCTTGACCGTTTCTTTGCGGATATCGTGGTGTAGAATAACTGACTTTGATTCCCCAGTTCGCACAAAAAGCATCAAAATCTTGTGAAATGAATTGTGGCCCGTTATCAGTGACTATTTCGTACGGAACTCCATGTCGACATATAATATTCTTCCAAATGAAAGTCTTCACCGCCGAATCCTTGATGCCAACATATGCCTCAGCTTCAATCCATTTCGAAAAGTAGTCCGTCAAGACCAAAAGGTATTGTACACCTCGAGTTGATCTGTACAATGGTCCAATGATGTCCATTGACCACCTCATAAACGGGTACGGGGCGGAGATAGAAGAGAATAACTCCGAAGGTTGATGGATCAATGGTGCATGGAGTTGGCAGCGCTTACATCTTTGGGCAAATTTAACACAATCCGTGATCATAGTGGGCCAATAGTATCCCATTCTTTTAACTTTAAAAGCCATAGCTCTTCCTGATGAATGACTCCCACATAATCCTTCATGTACTTCGCTCATGACGATTTTGACTTTGGGCCCAAAAATGCATAATAGGTAAGGGTCACTGACACCTCGTCTATATAATGCATCATTTGATAGACAAAATTTCGCGCTAACGATTTTCATTTTTCTGGCCTGCTACTTATTCTTTGGGAGCTCGCCTGTCATGATGTAGCGCTTTATTGGCTCCCTCCAGTCAACCCCCCAGTTTTTAGCCGGAATTTGGTCGACCTTGTGAAATTCTCGTGGCTCTGGTTCGGGATGCTTGTTTGGTTCAAGAATATCCTCCTCGATTAATGGCTCAGTCTCTAGTACTGTTTCTGGAATCGCATCTTTTGCTAAGACGACGGGTTCCTTGTTAGACGTGTTTGATCCTTTTGATTTCCTCCGTTTGTTGGGTGGCGGTTCGACCTCTGGTTCGCCACGGTCACGTGCCGCTTCTCGAGATCTTGTAACGACGAGGGTTTCCTTGTTGTCTTGAATGCTTCGCTCCGAAATGAATTTCACTGGAATAACTCTTTTTAACTCAGGATCTGATGTTGACGCCAACGCGGCAAGTGCGTCCGCAGTCGTATTCTCTCCCCGAGGTATGCGAATTAATTCGAATTTCGAGAAATTTTTAGATAGATCCTTCACCACTTCGAGGTATGCTTCCATTCTTGAGTCCTTGGCCTCGTAGTCTCCATTAAACTGGTTAACCACTAATTGCGAATCGCAATAAGCGACTATTTCCTTAGCTCCAACTCCTTGTGCCAATCGAAGTCCGGCAATTAGGGCTTTGTATTCTGCCTCATTGTTGGAAGCATTAAATAATAATCGGAATCATTGTTCTAGAATTTCCGATGTTGGAGATTCCAACTTGATTCCTACTCCGGATCCTTGCTTTAATGAAGACCCATCTACATGTAATTTCCAAGTTTGGTTCTCCGATTGCTCTATCGTTCCAGGTATTGGTAGCTCGGTTAGGAAATCTGCTATATCTTGAGCTTTCATACTGATCCGGCTTTTGAATTCTATGTAGTACTCGCTCAATTCCACCGCCCATTTCGCCAAACGTCCGGACTGACTTGGACTATGAAGTATTGTTCGGAGTGGCTGGTTGGTTAATACTTCAACCGAATGGGATTGAAAATATGGGCGCAGCTTCCGAGCAGAGGTCACCACCGCCAGTGCGAGTTTTTCCATCATTGTATATCTGGTTTCCGGATCCGTCATTGATTTACTTACGTAGTAAATCGGCTTCTGTTCCCCGTGGTCTTCCCGAACCAGGATTCCACTAACCGCATGGTTTGAAACCGATACGTACAAATAAAGCTTTTCATCCACTTCTGGTTTGGACAATATAGGTGGAGTGGTTAAGTATGCCTTAAGCTGCCCAAAAGCTTCTTCACATTTCTCATCCCAAAGGAATCCTTTGTTTCCTTTTAGAATTTGATAGAAAGGCAATGACTTATCTGTTGATTCGAGATAAAACGATTCAAAGCCGCAATCCGCCCAGTCAACCGTTGTACTTCCTTGAAGTTTCTTGGAGATGGCATATTTAGGAATGCGTTAATTTGATTTGGATTGGCCTCAATCCCTCTTTCTGTCACAATATAGCCAAGAAATTCTCCGGATGGGACTCCGAATGTGCACTTTGCCGGGTTCAGCTTCATTTGATATTTATTGAGAATATCAAAACATTCCTCTAAATGCTTAACGTGATCTTCTTTTCTTAACGATTCAACCAACATATCATCTATGTAGACTTCCATTGTCTTCCCGAGATGATTGTGGAACATTTTGTTAACCAACCGTTGATAAGTTGCTCCTGCATTTTTCAAACCAAAAGGCATTACCTTGTAACAATAGATACCTCTATCAGTGATAAATGACGTTTTTTCTTAGTCTTCGGGGTTCATCGTTGTTTGATTATAACCCGAGAAGGCGTCCATGAATGTTAACAGCTCGTTCCCAGCGGTGGACTCTACAAGTCGATCTATATGTGGGAGCGGGAAACTGTCTTTGGGACATGCTTTATTGAGGTCTGTGAAGTCGATGCAAACCCTATCTTTTCCATTCTTCTTTTTGACAACGACAGTGTTTGCTACCCATTCCGGGTATTGCACTTTTCTTATGGACCTTATCTTCAAAAGTTTATCCACTTCGTCATTTACTATTTTTGCTCGCTCCACTCCGAGCTTTCTTCTTTTTTGTTTCACCGGCTTGAAGCTCGTATCCACGTTTAGTTCATGACAAATTATACTTGGATCTATGCCAGGCATGTCCGTCGCTGACCACGCAAACGATGTTTTGTTTTTCCTCAAGAGTTCGATCAAAGCTTCTTTTATTTGGCCAGTCAAAGTTGCCCCAATTCGAATTTTCCGGTCCGGTTTGTCTTCTTCCAACACCACTTCGATTACTACATCATCTTTTTTCTGTCCGCTAGGAAATTTTGATCTTAGTCCCTCTTTTGCGGGCTTCGTTAATTGCTATTGAATCTTCATACGTTGGCTAGCTAGATAACACGTCCATGAAGCTTCTTGTTCTCCCCGAATTGTTTCCACTCCACTTGATGTTGGAAATTTGATACATTGATGATATGTAGAGGGGACTGCTTTCATTTGATAAATCCAGGGAGTTCCGAGGATGATGTTGTAAGCCGCGGGCTTATCAAAGACAACAAAATCCACGATCTTTGACACCCGTTTGGCAATGACTGGTAGCTTGATGGTTCCGAGGGACATGGCTGATTCACTTGTGAATGCCACTAACGGAGATGGAGGCCCTATTATGTCTGCCCGACTAATTCCCATTCTTTCTAAAGTACTTAAAAAGATTAGATCGACCGAACTGCCCGTATCGATAAGAATCCTTGATACTTCGAAGTTAGCAACATCCAGGGTAATGACTAATGCATCATCATGAGGTCTTTCGAGGTGCCGCGTTTCTTCTTCGTCAAATGATATTGATGCACCTTGAAAATCGACTTCTTCACTCAAACTTGCTTTGAGTAAAATATTTCGCCTATGTTTTTTGATGGAACTTATCGAATCTCGACAAAATTTGGAACCTCCTAGAATAACATTGATCTTACCCTTCGAACTCCTTGGTTCTTCCTCGTTGGTTAACCTTGGTCTTTTGGAATTTTGATATTTGGAGCTTTCCTTTGCTCCGTGGTATTCCCTCACAAAATCTTTTATATCGAATTTGGAAAGATCTTCACTAGCCCAAAATTCCGTGAGGTGCTTTTTAAGGACACTACAATCCTTGGTTAAATGTCCGGTTACTTTATGAATGTCGCAATATAAACTTTCATCACGGACCCAAGTGTTTGACCTTCCTTTCCTTTGGAATTGCTTTCCGATGGTACTGTTGAAGGGTTGCGACCCAAATTTCCTTGGTCCTTTGCTCTCCCTAGGCTCGAACTTCTTGGTAGGGACGGTAATTGCCGGCTTTTCTTGCTTATTTCTTTTGGCATAATTTTCTTTTTCGTCCTCTTCTTCCATCCAGTTATTTGCGCGGAAGAGCGCATCCTGAATTGTGTCTGGTTTATGAAGTATTAAATCTTCTTTAAATCTTGAATCATGTCGCAATCCTTTTCGTAAGGCAGATAAAGCTGATTGTTGTGAGATTCTTGGGAGCTTTGACAGCACTCCTTTGAACTTGGTGATGAAAACTCGAAGTGACTCATTTGATCCTTGTGATAGGTTCCAAAGATCGACATCCAAAACGCTTTTATCCATAAGGATGGAATATTGCTTTAAGAACACAGCTGATAGCTCGTTGAAATTGCTGATCAAACCCGGCTCTAATTGGGTGAACCACATTAGAGCTTGGCCGCATAGATTTTCCGAAAAGAGCTTGCAGTAACCTGCGTCCTCATCAGCTTCATCCAATTCGACTCTTCCAGCAGCGATCAGAAAAGCTGCGAGATAGCTCTTTGGATCCTTCAATCCACTGTAAGGGTCCAACTTGAGCTTCCGGGAATCTTTGATTCTCAAACTTGCAATTCGCGAGATGAAAGGTGTTTGTCTAGCTTCTTCAATGACTCGATTGATGTCTGGCTCCGAACTTGTAGCTTGATGGAACTTTGACTTCATTTCTTTCAGTTCCTGGCTAACCTTCCTCATAGTCTCGAACTGGTCGAGGTTTTCCTGCTCGTATTGATCTGTAAGTTGAACTTCATCTTCGAGCTGTGTATCTCCCTCCAATGGCTGAACTACATTATTAGTAGCACCAGGAGTTGTTTGTTCGCTTGTTTCATTTCGCGCAACGGAATTTGGCGAGTTGAATATCCTCCTTCGGATTCCCACAGGATTTCCTACACTTAAAGAGCAAACACGAGTTTGTATAGTACTGACGTTTTGACTAAGTGATACCTGGGATGTTTGTAACGTGTCGACGGCCTTTTCCACATTTGAGAACTTCTGCGACATTTCCGACATAGTTTGTTGCATGGCTTTGAGAGTTTCGGCCAATGACAGTTCAACTGCGTCTCCTCCGGACATTGCTGCTTATCTCAGAAATGTAGTAAAGAAAAATCTGACCACTCAAGAATCCTCTGTCCCCACAGACGGCGCCAAAATATGGATGTCGGATTCACACAATCAAGTATTTTACTAAGTAGGAAAGATTACTCTTGAGGGACAAAAAATAAGAATGTAAAAAGCTTATGAATTGCTACAAAAATTGCTATAGTATTTCTTGCTCGAGAAAAAGATCCCCTTTACATGGCCATTGGCCCCTTTATTTATACATAGAAAAACGACATTTAAAATGGCTAATTAAGTACAATTATTCTCTCTTAAATGTGTCCGTTTTGATTTTTGACTTTAATGCTTAACGTTTGAATTTGAGTTGACTCCAATCTTCATGGGCCTCGCCTTTTGGCCCAAATGTCCTTGAACCGACTTAACCGTGACTTTGATGTCGGGCTCATATCGAAGTGCAATCACTTCGAATTCCTCTTGTGGTGATAAACACTTCGACTGTTCCTTTGGATCACGGATCCAATGGGCTTTATCCTTTATGGGCCAATATTTTGACTACGTGGCAATCTTTGGTTAGTCTCGAACTTTTGGTGCGGGATCCGACACCAACACCGCGTTGGCATCAACATCAGATCCTGAGTTGAAAAGAGTTATTCCAGTGGAATGCATTTCGGAGCGAAGCACTTAAGAAAACAAAGAAACCCTCGCCGTTACAAGATCTCGAGCAGCGGCACGTGACCGTGGCGAACCAGAGGTCGAACCTCCACCCATCAAACGGAGGAAATCAACGGGATCAAACACATCTAGCAAGGAACCCGTTGTTTTAGCAGAAGATGCGATTCCAGAAACAGTATTAGAGACCGAGCCATTAATCGAGGAGGATACTCTTGAACCAAACAAGCATCCCGAACCAGAGCCACGAGTATTTCACAGGGTCGACCAAATTCCGGCTAAAGACTGGTGGGCTGACTGGAGGGAGCCAATAAAGCGCTACATCATGACAGACGAGCTCCCAAAGAATAAGTGGCAGGCCAGAAATTTTGTCTATCAAAGGACGCATTATATAGACGAGGTGTTAGTGACCCTTACCTATTATGCATTTTTGGGCCCGAAGTCGAAATCGTTATAAGCGAAGTGCATGAGGGATTATGTGGAAGTCATTCATCAGGAAGGGCTATGGCTTTTAAAGTTAAAAGAATGGGATACTATTGGCCCACTATGATTACAGATTGTGTTAAGTTCGCCCAAAGATGTAAGCGCTGCCAACTCCATGCACCATTGATCCATCAACCTTCGGAATTATTCTCCTCCATTTCCGCCCCATACCCGTTTATGAGGTGGTCAATGGACATCATTGGACCATTACATAGATCAACTCGAGGTGTAAAATACCTTTTGGTTTTGACGGACTGCTCTTTGAAATGGATTGAACCTGAGGCGTATGTTGGTATCAAGGACTCGGCGGTGAAGACTTTCATTTGGAAATACATTATATGTCGACATGGAGTTCCGTATGAAATAGTCACTGATAACGGACCACAATTCATTTCACACGAGTTCGATGCCTTTTGTGCGGACTGGGGAATCAAAGTCAGTTATTCTACTCCACGATATCCGCAAGGAAAAGGTCAAGCTGAAGCCGCGAACAAGACGATATTGAGCAATCTCAAGAAACGCTTAAATCATCTAAAGGGAGGATGGTATGAGGAACTCCAACCCGTCCTATGGGCCTATCGTACAACCCCTAGGCGACCTACCGGAGAAACTCCATTCTCTTTGGTTTATGGCATGGAGGCAGTAGTACCGGCTGAACTCAACGTGCCCGGACTTCGCCGAACAGAAGCACCATTAAATGAGGAAGAAAATTCAGCAATGCTTAATGATTCACTAGATACCATAAATGAAAGGCGTGATCAGGCTTTGATTCGGATTCAGAATTACCAGCAGGCAGCAGCCCGATATTACAATTCTAAAGTTAAAAGTAGGTCGTTCTTCGTGGGAGATTATGTGTTAAGGCGCGTCTTTGACAATAAAAAAAGAAGAAGGTGCCTGTAAACTCGGTATTAATTGGGAAGGACCTTACATTGTTACCGAAGTGGTTCGGAATGGTGTTTATAGGCTGAAAGACTTAGAAGGCAGGCAAGTCAAGCGACCTTGGAATGTGATCAACCTAAAGAAGTTTTATGTTTAAAGCTACATGCATTTTTTATGTACATGAACTACGGTGTGGCTTGATCCCGAAATGGGTACGTAGGCAGCTCGGAAACGAGTTCAGCTATTAATAAAAATTTGTTTTATTTCTTTATTAAAGGAAAAGGTTCGACTGAGCGAACAAGTGAAGCAAATAAAGGTTCGGCTATGCGAACATACAGGAGATTGGAAATAGAGCGTTTATTCAAACAAATAAGACGGAATGTCCCTCATCGTACACTTCGGATTAGGGAAATCTTGTTGACGAGCAAAAGACTTCAACTCCTTGACCAGTAAGATCGAGGATTGGCATCATGCAGTCCGGAATTCGAGCGAAGTCAGAGATTCCAAGCTCGATCCATTCTCCGGGGTTAGAGCCAAGGATGTGAAGATCTCTTGATACCTTAGTAAGCCTGCGTTGCATCCGGTTAATCCTCTTCTGGAGTCTCCTCTTTTCTAATGTAAGCTTCCGATGTTGAAGCGCAAGTGCCTCTATGAATGCCGTCGCTGTTCCTTGGTCTCTGATTGGGAGATCCCTGATCAAAGCGCACGGAGCTCGGATCTGAGACCTGAAGGAGCCGCGAGGTGAAAGAGGCTGCCTGTTTGGCTCATTCGAAACATCTTCGTTTATCATTCCGATCCTGGAGAAGTCGGGCATGGATTCTGAACATCGAAGGTTGAACTCCATACCTGCTAAAATGAAAAAGAGTGGTGAAGAGTAAAGGGAAATTGAGACCATAATTTATAAGAACGTCGTATCCCTTGGAGTGATTCGCGGAGAGATTTATGCTTTTAAACCAACCCTGCATTAAAAGACGTATCTCCGAGAATATTTTGAAGAATAAGGAAAAATGCAAATGTTCCCATAAATAAAAAAAAAAAGGGGCCAAAGCCCATTACGAGTTCAAAATGGGAGCAGAGTTAGGGAACATTAAAGGAAGAGGCTCAGGAACAGGCTCCTTCATCGCCGGTTTAATTTCCGAAGTGGACGCCTTGTTCTTGGCATCCACTTCGGGCCGATCCCGAACGCGTTTCTGACAGGTGCTGGCATCCTCCTCGTCTTCTTCTTCGCTATCAGATGGAGCGGTATAGACCGGGGCGTTCACGGGCCCCAGAACTCCCTTAGCACGGAGATACATCCGGAGCATCTTCGGGATCTCAGCAACAGAATCAAAGTTCCGCCATTCCCATTGAAAGGGGTCACTTTCCAGAGCTCTTATCTTCCTCTCCACACGAGCGATGCAAGCCTCTAGTGTTTGTCTTTTGAGACCTAGCCGCTGCCTCTCGTCACACAAGCAACGGTGCTTGTCAACGACCTAGAATAAAGATAAGTACGTAAAAAGAAGAAAGCGAAAAAGTTTTGATCGGAGGAGATAAGTATTAAACCTTATCCAGGAAATCACAAGCCTCTTTCTTTTCCTTCGAAGGGAAGTGAAACACGGCGTGCAGGAAGAGAATACCTGTCGGCTCGAATCCATCGCCGGACAGAAAAAGCGGGCTGCCAGGATCAATGGGGACTACGTTTTCGTTTTCCATTGATATGGTGCTTATCGAATGAATTATGAAGTTTCTTGAGGAGAGATCAAAGGTAAACAATCTCCTATTTATAATAGGAATAGGGTTTGTCTTGGAAACGAAAAATCATTAATGGTGGCGTGCCCTAGTAACTTAAACCATTTTTGGAAATCGAGAAAAGGCAGTTATCGCCTTAAAGGCGAGCCGCTTTTCCTACTTTCAAGAAATGAGAAGGGAAAAAGCAACCGTCGCATTAACTACAAAAGTTGGAAATTTGATACATTGATGATATGTAGAGGGGACTGCTTTCATTTGATAAATCCAGGAAGTTCCGAGGATGATGTTGTAAGCCGCGGGCTTATCGAAGACAACAAAATCCACGATCTTTGACCCCCGTTTGGCAATGACTGGTAGCTTGATGGTTCCGAGGGACATGGCTGATTCACTTGTGAATGCCACTAACGGAGATGGAGGCCCTATTATGTCTGCCCGACTAATTCCCATTCTTTCTAAAGTACTTAAAAAGATTAGATCGACCGAACTGCCCGTATCGATAAGAATCCTTGATACTTCGAAGTTAGCAACATCCAGGGTAATGACTAATGCATCATCATGAGGTCTTTCGAGGTGCCGCGTTTCTTCTTCGTCAAATGATATTGATGCACCTTAAAAATCGACTTCTTCACTCAAACTTGCTTTGAGTAAAACATTTCGCCTATGTTTTTTGATGGAACTTATCGAATCTCGACAAAATTTGGAACCTCCTAGAATAACATTGGTCTTACCCTTCGAACTCCTTGGTTCTTCCTCGTTGGTTAACCTTGGTCTTTTGGAATTTTGATCTTTGGAGCTTTCCTTTGATCCGTGGTATTCCCTCACAAAATCTTTTATATCGAATTTGGAAAGATCTCCACTAGCCCAAAGTTCCGCGAGGTGCTTTTTAAGGACACTACAATCCTTGGTTAAATGTCCGGTTACTTTATGAATGTCGCAATATAAACTTTCATCACGGACCCAAGTGTTTGACCTTCCTTTCCTTTGGAATTGCTTTCCGACGGTACTGTTGAAGGGTTGCGACCCAAATTTCCTTGGTCCTTTGCTCTCCCTAGGCTCGAACTTCTTGGTAAGGATGGTAATTGCCGGCTTTTCTTGCGTATTTCTTTTGGCAAAATTTTCTTTTTCGTCCTCTACTTCCATCCAGTTATTTACGCGGAAGAGCGCATCCTGAATTGTGTCTGGTTTATGAAGTATTAAATCTTCTTTAAATCTTGAATCATGTCGCAACCCTTTTCGTAAGGCAGATAAAGCTGATTGTTGTGAGATTCTTGGGAGCTTTAACAGCACTCCTTTGACCTTGGTGATGAAAACTCGAAGTGACTCATTTGATCCTTGTGATAGGTTCCAAAGATCGGCATACGAAACGCTTTTATCCATAAGGATGGAATATTGCTTTAAGAACACAGCTGATAGCTCGTTGAAATTGCTGATCAAACCCGGCTCTAATTGGGTGAACCACATTAGAGCTTGGCCGCATAGATTTTCCGAAAAGAGCTTGCAGTAACCTGCGTCCTCATCAGCTTCATCCAATTCGACTCTTCCAGCAGCGATCAGAAAAGCTGCGAGATAGCTCTTTGGATCCTTCAATCCGCTGTAAGGGTCCAACTTGAGCTTCCGGGAATCTTTGATTCTCAAACTTGAAATTCGCGAGATGAAAGGTGTTCGTCTAGCTTCTTCAATGACTCGATTGATGTCTGGCACCGAACTTGTAGCTTGATGGAACTTTGACTTCATTTCTTTCAGTTCCTGGCTAACCTTCCTCAGAGTCTCGAACTGGTCGAGGTTTTCCTGCTCGTATTGATCTGTAAGTTGAACTTCATCTTCGAGCTGTATATCTCCCTCCAATGGCTGAACTACATTATTAGTAGCACCAGGAGTTGTTTGTTCGCTGGTTTCATTTCGCGCAACGGAATTTGGCGAGTTGAATATCCTCCTTCGGATTCCCACAGGATTTCCTGCACTTAAAGAGCGAACACGAGTTTGTATATTACTGACGTTTTGACTAAGTGATACCTGGGATGTTTGTAACGTGTCGACAGCCTTTTCCACATTCGAGAACTTCTGCGACATTTCCGACATAGTTTGTTGCATGGCTTTGAGGGTTTCGGCCAATGACAGTTCAACTGCGTCTCCTCCGGACATTGCTACTTATCTCGGAAATGTAGTAAAGAAAAATCTGACCACTCAAGAATCCTCTGTCCCCACAGACGGCGCCAAAATGTGGATGTCGGATTCACACAATCAAGTATTTTACTAAGTAGGAAAGATTACTCTTGAGGGACAAAAAATAAGAATGTAAAAAGCTTATGAATTGCTACAAAAATTACTATAGTATTTCTTGCTCGAGAAAAAGATCCCTTTTACATGGCCATTGGCCCCTTTATTTATACATAGAAAAACGACATTTAAAATGGCTAATTAAGTACAATTATTCTCTCTTAAATGTGTCTGTTTTGATCTTTGACTTTAATGTTTAACGTCTGAATTTGAGTTGACTCCGATCTTCATGGGCCTCGCCTTTTGGCCCAAATGTCCTTGAACCGACTTAACCGTGACTTTGATGTCGGGCTCATATCGAAGTGCAATCACTTCGAATTCCTCTTGTGGTGATAAACACTTCGACTGTTCCTTTGGCTCACGGATCCAATGGGCTTTATCCTTTATGCGCCAATATTTTGACTACGTGGCAATCTTTGGTTAGTCTCGAACTTTTGGTGCGGGATCCGACACCAACACCGCGTTGGCATCAACATCAGATCCTGAGTTGAAAAGAGTTATTCCAGTGGAATGCATTTCGGAGCGAAGCATTCAAGACAACAAAGAAACCCTCGTCGTTACAAGATCTCGAGTAGCGGCACGTGACCGTGGCGAACCAGAGGTCGAACCTCCACCCATCAAACGGAGGAAATCAACGGGATCAAACACATCTCGCAAGGAACCCGTTGTTTTAGCAGAAGATGCGATTCCAGAAACAGTATTAGAGACCGAGCCATTAATCGAGGAGGATACTCTTGAACCAAACAAGCATCCCGAACCAGAGCCACGAGTATTTCACAGGGTCGACCAAATTCCGGCTAAAGACTGGTGGGCTGACTGGAGGGAGCCAATAAAGCGCTACATCATGACAGACGAGCTCCCAAAGAATAAGTGGCAGGCCAGGAATTTTGTCTATCAAAGGACGCATTATATAGACGAGGTGTTAGTGACCCTTACCTATTATGCATTTTTGGGCCCGAAGTCGAAATCGTTATAAGCGAAGTGCATGAGGGATTATGTGGAAGTCATTCATCAGGAAGGACTATGGCTTTTAAAGTTAAAAGAATGGGATACTATTGGCCCACTATGATTACGGATTGTGTTAAGTTCGCCCAAAGATGTAAGCGCTGCCAACTCCATGCACCATTGATCCATCAACCTTCGGAATTATTCTCCTCCATTTCCGCCCCATACCCGTTTATGAGGTGGTCAATGGACATCATTGGACCATTACACAGATCAACTCGAGGTGTAAAATACCTTTTGGTTTTGACGGACTACTTTTTGAAATGGATTGAAGCTGAGGCGTTTGTTGGTATCAAGGACTCGACGGTGAAGACTTTCATTTGGAAAAACATTATATGTCGACATGGAGTTCTGTACAAAATAGTCACTGATAACGGACCACAATTCATTTCACACGAGTTCGATGCCTTTTGTGCGGATTAGGGAATCAAAGTCAGTTATTCTACTCCACGATATCCGCAAGGAAAAGATCAAGCTGAAGCCGCGAACAAGACGATATTGAGCAATCTCAAGAAACGCTTAAATCAACTAAAGGGAGGATGGTATGAGGAACTCCAACCCGTCCTATGGGCCTATCGTACAACCCCTAGGCGACCTACCGGAGAAACTCCATTCTCTTTGGTTTATGGCATGGAGGCAGTAGTACCGGCTGAACTCAACGTGCCCGGACTACGCCGAACAGAAGCACCATTAAATGAGGAAGAAAATTCAGCAATGCTTAATGTTTCACTAGATACCATAAATGAAAGGCGTGATAAGGCTTTGATTCGGATTCAAAATTACCAGCAGGCAGCAGCCCGATATTACAACTCTAAAGTTAAAGTAGGCCGTTCTTCGTGGGAGATTATGTGTTAAGGCGCGTCTTTGACAATAAAAAAGAAGAAGGTGCTTGTAAATTCGGTATTTATTGGGAAGGACCTTACATTGTTACCGAAGTGGTTCGGAATGGTGTTTATAGGCTGAAAGACTTAGAAGACAGGCCAGTCAAGCGACCTTGGAATGTGATCAACCTAAAGATGTTTTATGTTTAAAGCTACATGCATTTTTTATGTACATGAACTACGGTGTGGCTTGATCCCGAAATGGGTACGTAGGCAGCTCGGAAACGAGTTCAACTATTAATAAAAATTTGTTTTATTTCTTTATTAAAGGAAAAGGTTCGACTGAGCGAACAAGTGAAGCAAATAAAGGTTCGGCTATGCGAACATACAGGAGATTGGAAATAGAGCGTTTATTCAAACAAATAAGACGGAATGTCCCTCATCGTACACTTCGGATTAGGGAAATCTTGTTGACGAGCAAAACACTTCAACTCCTTGACCAGTAAGATCGAGGATTGGCATCATGCAGTCTGGAATTCGAGCGAAGTCAAAGATTCCAAGCTCGATCCATTCTCCGGGGTGAGAGCCTGCGTTGCATCCGGTTAATCCTCTTCCGGAGTCTCCTCTTTTCCAATGTAAGCTTCCGATGTTGAAGCGCAAGTGCCTCTATGAATGCCATCGCTGTTCCTTGGTCTCTGATTGGGAGATCCCTGATCAAAGCGCACGGAGCTCGGATCTGAGACCTGAAGGAGCCGCGAGGTGAAAGAGGCTGCCTGTTTGGCTCATTCGAAACATCTTCGTTTATCATTCCGATCCTGGAGAAGTCGGGCATGGATTCTGAACATCGAAGGTTGAACTCCATACCTGCTAAAATGAAAAAGAGTGGTGAAGAGTAAAGGGAAATTGAGACCATAATTTATAAGAACGTCGTATCCCTTGGAGTGATTCGCGGAGAGATTTATGATTTTAAACCAACCCTGCATTAAAAGACGTATCTCCGAGAATATTTTGAAGAATAAGGAAAAATGCAAATGTTCCCA